ATCAATACTGACTAAAGGTTCAACCCAACCCTAAAACGGCACTTTGTCGTCTGTCATATGAAGCAGAAGCCATGCGAAATAAGATATAGCTCAGATTAATGAAAATATACGTGCACGAAACATCCCCCAACAAGTAGTAGATAAATTTGCGACTAGAGTTAAGGGCCCCCCTCCCCTCAAAGTCAAGGGTGTCAAAGTCAAGGGTCAAAAAGTTTCTCCTTTGATTATCGCGGTTTTTTTCTGGAAAGTGGTACAGGGAAAAGTCTGAGAGCAGTTCGTCGTGGATTATCGGCTATGGCGAATCGAATGAGCACATGTAGAGACATGTGCGATGTACTTTTTCCCACATGTAAGCGTTATTCCCACGGAAAAACCATAAAAGATCAATCAGTTTTTGATGTTGGGTGCCTCAGAAAAACCGCTGTAAAACCCTCAAAAACCATCGTAAAACCAATAAATCATAGTGCATTGGAAAGCAGATATATTGGGCTATACAACTATGCATAAATATCCAAATCGATTTTTTTTGTCGAAAAATGCTTTTTTTGAGGGGTGGGGGCCCTTATAGGAAGAAATTTTTGATAGGATTTCCTGTGAAAAGGTCGACAAAAGCTTTGAGAAAGCGATTAATTACTTCAAACAGCAACAGAAACAACAAGCGGTAATTTTCCGAAAAACGGACAGGTCAAAAATTTTTCATCTTGATAAGAAATCTGATGAGTATATGGCAAAAACTAGTCCCTACAAGAAAATTACTTATAATCCCATTAGACAAATGATTCACAATACTGATTTATTCCTACGTGAGTTAGTTAGAAAGAAACAATTATCTCAATGGCAATACGAGCGACTAAAATCCTCCCAGGAAGATTGTGGGTTGCCTCATTTGTACTACAATTCAAAAGATCACAAGATTGGTGAATCGTTAAGACCGATAGTCCTAAAAGATCAGTATTATAAGCAAATTAGAGGAGGAGCGATGGGCAGCGCTGTCACGCAGATTTTAGCAGATGTTTACATGCAGAATTGGGAACAAGAACTACTGGCTATACAAGTAAGTGAAAAAGAACTATATTTTCGATTTCGAGATGACATCTACATAACAACTAAAAAACCGTTTTATGAGATGCTCGAGATTCTCAAACATATGAATGACAAAGACCCAAATATAAAGTTGACATATGAGACAGGTGACAATATTAACTACCTAGACGTTCGCGTGATCAAAGACTCAGGCAGTACCGCTTTAGAACAGTTGTGCATAGGAAACCAGCGGCGCACCCATACGTTCTGCCGTTCGAATCCTCTCACCCTATGCACATCAAACAAAATATTGTTTACTCTGTCGTCCTTAGAGCCATTAGAATTTGTTCAGACGTACGTGACCTGAAAAAAGATATATTTGAGATACCGATGAGATCACTGTTGAACCAATACCCGGGTAAATTTATTGATGAAAACATTGATCGACTAATGAAAGGTATGAGATTGCAAAATTTAGAATCCATTTATGAAACACAAGTGAAATATGAATATTGCGGGACAAAAGTTCGGGAAGTCAGCTGGAACCGCTTCAACAAACATAGTAAAAAGACAGTAGACCGTAAAAACGATTTATTAATTCATTTTACATTTGTCCCAACGTTGGCGAATTTCAGAGCAAAATTCTATTAATTATGTGTTGACGCATTTGAGGATACACCACTAGCAGATGTGCACCCCATCTTCGCCACTAGATTGTCCGAGAACCTAATGAACCTGCTGATTAGAAAAAAACCTGTAAGATCCTTGATACGAGTACAGTCCACTGCACAATAATCAATTTATTTAGATCTCCAACATCCACTATCAATCATTATTTACCATTACTACCCATGGAATAATTTTGATACCCTAACGCAGGTTAGCACGCGTTAAAAATGTCTTTTTCAGAAAAATTATATTTAAACGGGTTTAATTTTCAGAAATCACGCGAGCTGACGCTTCTTCCGAGTGGCGATGGATGCGAACTCGTTAAATATGATTGTGAAGGATAAAACGGGTTTTCACGCGTTTAAGTATAACGGGTTCTAATGCGTTAAGATCTTATCGATGCGTATACATGAGTTTAATAGGAATAAGTTGCTTTTAACGGGTTTGAACCAGTGTGAGTATCGAATGAGTTCAAATTCCTCTTAATAATCGATGCATTCAAACCCGATTACGCGTTGAACTATCAGATTTAGTTGCTTTGAACGTGTTTACTTTTCTATGACAAAAAATTACTCTTTCCGAGAAGTTATACTGCAGAAGACACGAGCGAAGGTTTCCATATAGTGAGCGCGTTTCATCATCATTAAGTTTCTGTTGTCAAAATGAACATTTTTTAAAAAACACATAAGATGATAAACAATATTTTTCAAAACAACTAAAAACACTGTAACCAACAAAAAAAGTACTATGTGCTCTCTATCATATTTGAAAGACGAAAAAGAACGTGTTTCTTTGATCTTTCATTGAAATAATATGATAGCTTTACTTGCTCAGTTTTTCCTTCTTATGCTTAAGAAGAACGATATTTCAACTTCAGCCGTTAGAACGGACGGATTTATCAAAACTCAATAATATAAACCGTTAACACGTTGTAAAGTGTAAAAACTCCATTTCTAACGAACATGTATTTTACTCTGTTTTAACGGGTTAGATTAGCCACTAACCTGTGCAAACTGATTAGACGATGACTCATAGAAAAGTTCACGCATACGAACGCGTTAAAGCGTTGACTTTCTAATCACCATCTTGTTTTGCATGATCAACTCGTATATAAGTGTCGTAACTTTTCCACTAGATATAAGATGCATCAACTTAGAAATTTTAAAAATTTGTCTCTTCCTATGTGTACGAGATTATCTATCATAATGGTACTGATGAATAGTACTTGGTAGGCCGTGACTATGGTTTGCTACCTAAGATCCACCTGTACGTGGATTTTGGGACTCGGATGCCGAATAAAAAGCAATCAAAGGTGGGAGAGAGATAAAAACGAGTTAAGGTGCGACAATAAAGCAGAATGGATAGTAACGGGTGTGAACTCGTGAAAACGTTTGTTTTAGAATCTCTTTAAAAAAATTTGTTATAACGAGTGCGAACGTGTCTGATATGTTAACGCGTTTAGAAAACTGTATGGTTCGGATGCGTTAAAACTAAAAGAGTTTGAACGCTTTACTATTAAGTCTAACGTTAGCAAACGTTATAAATTGAACTCGTTAAAACCACCGAATATGAAACATTTAACGCGGTTTTAACGCTTTAATCCGCTTACCGGTCGCGTTACAATTTTAAAGTTTGGGATATTTTCTCGTTTTAGAACTGTGTAGACTTCATTCACAATAACTGGGAACTTTCCCAGTGAATGGTCTATTATCAGTCTGCCATCATTATTATTACGCATCACAGCATCATCTCCATCAATGCACTCATCTGGGTCTTCTAAAGGACTAGCTGCACGAGCGTACTCGCCCCACAAATCAGCCT